CACCACGAGTTGTTGAAGATTCAATTATCTCTCCAATTTTTTCACCCTCCTGTTCCACCTCTACTTCCTTTCTGGCCCCCTCTCTAGATCCCGTTTTCCAGATACACCCCCTCTACATTGTGAACACTACCATACCAACCTACCAAGCACCACAGAGCAGACAGTACTTCACAAGTGAAATAGTGCCATGTTGTCTCTCTAGGTGACCGGTGACCATTGACACAGAGGTACAGAGCTGCTGGCAGATCTGCAGGCCCAGGCTTACACATGGTTGACCCCAAACATGGTCAAGCCAAGCAAGGTCACTTTCAACAGTGAGTTAAACCTATTGACAATCCATTACCTGGGAATGTTCATACATGCACATTGCCTGGCTTATGTGATGACGCAACTAACCAGACTTAGAACAGCTGTTGGATAAAGCCAATAAACTGTGCCACTCAAAAAAAAACCCCAAAGAGATAAAGGGTGTTCTAAGATGACCCTCTGTTATTTAAATCATACAAAACACATACGTTAAATCAAATTCTTATACATAGACAAAAAGGCTACTGTCATATGTCAAGCCAGTCAATGCATTTTGTGGTTTTTACCATTTCATCGGGACTGTATATTAATAGATGACAGATATCCAACATGAAAAATCTTTAGTCTAGAATGAAAAGAATATATAATAAATATATTGCATAGGTATAAATCCACAATGTTTGATCACAAAAAAACATAACAAATGACTTGGAAATAACTATCCCATAGGGGAAGGGGGAGCAAGTATGGAGAGAGGGAGACAGAGAAAAAAATGCAAAACACACAACAGCTATTTAACACCCAAATCACTTACAAAAACTCCATGGATGAAAGGAAAAAAAGTCACATCTTCCTAGGCTGTTGGAGGCATGTAGAGAACCTTCAATGGGAAAAAGGGGTGGGCCAAACCACACTGCTCTTACCCAAATTGGGTGATAAGGCACTGGATACACTAAACACACATAAACCAGAGAACAAGGCAAACCTCCAAATATCCAATTGTATGCATGTATTAGAAAGCAGACTATAGAATTTTAATAGCCAAGCATATAGCTTGGATTGCTCACCTCAAATTCATCATGTCACTAGAGGGAGCATGGTCATGGATTTAATTTGAATGGTCTGTTGTCCAAATACTGTATATTATCTAAAATTCATAAACCATGGCAACTGAATCCACTAAAGCCAAAACTTAAACTGTTAAATAACACAACAGAGAGGAGTAGGTATACTGACCATGATAAACCCACAAAAAACACAGTATCTGGTAGATTGATATAGAGTGAGAACACCTCAAAAGTCAAGTATCCGGCCCACAGCTTCCAATCCCAATATTGCCAGTCTAAAAGGCAGAGAAAAAAACAGAAAGGACAGAAAGAAATAACTGAAGATTCAAAAATCAGGTAGCCACCCTTTTCCATAGACCAATTTGATCTAATAAAGAACACAGGTATCACACAGTCAGACAGAGACATTCCTATAGAAGCAATGCTGTTCTAACACCATGGATCCCTGTTGCTCACAACGCCATGAGGTAAATGAGAGCCACATCAACACTACCTACTAAATAGTCTCTAGGCCTCCTGAGGACACTTCCATAGACATCCCATAATGGGTGTTAGCTCCAATAAAATATCGGGGGTTGGCTCAGGGGTCGGGAAGGTCCTCTCCCCATTGATAGAGACCACATAAAGACAGCCCTCAAAGTCCAAAAGAACTAATATTGAAAACGCCACTGCAACAATCCAGACAGGCACCCCTCCTGGAAGCAAAATTGCCGCTGTGCAGGAAGTGACACAGGTGCTCTTGAAAACAACATGCCACCACTCCTCAAGTTATATCAGATGCGCCATCTCGGTGGTATTATTATATATCCTTTTTGATTCTAGACTAAAGATTATTCATGTTGGATATCTGTTATCTATGAATTTCCAGTCCTGAGGAAACGGTAACAACCGCAAAATGCTTCGACTGACATCACATTTGACAGTAGCCTTTTAGTCTATGTATAAGAATTTGATTTGGCGTATTTCTGTTTTTAAACTTTGTAATAAAATGGTAGATTATTTTTTACATACTGTATATAATAGATTAACTCTGTGTATGATTAAAATACTGATGGGTCATCCTAGAACATATCTTTGTTTTCTCTTCGTTTCCCATTTAGGTTGGTGACTATTGCTATTTAGCCATATAGGCCTTGATTTCTGCCATTGTCACTTCAAACCCATATTTTTATCTGCTTCCAATAAACTGTGCCATTCACTTGGAGAAAATGCTGCCCTAAAAAGAAACAACCTCCAATCCTTCTCATTATTGATGTCTCTACACATTGGAATTCAACTTTATATATGCTGCTGCAGCTCTCCCAACAACAGTGTTTGTCTTGGAGTACCTTATCGACTATCTGGAACACAGATACTTGGTGGAGCTTGTGTTGTTACTTCTTAGGAGTGGCTAGTAATTCAGAATTTGTGTGTCATATCATCTCCCTTTGAGGAAGTGACAAATATGGCCAGTCATCTGCCCACTGGAAAAGATGGTTTTTGGGCTCAGGGACAGGGAGGTGAAGTCACAGAGTCAGAAGGACCAGGAAGAGGAAAAGGGGAAGAAAGGGCTGCTGTTCTTCCAACATCAATGCCAACTGAGAAATATTGAGCAACATAGGGGGAGGTACTTTGGTTAAGAAAGTGAAGAGCAACTAGGCCATTATTCCTCTCTGTCAGACATCTCTATTCCTGGGACTTAGATGGAGGAAGAGGAGGGGGTATAGGAGAAGAAGAGGGAGGGGGTGGAGGAGGACATTCTATCCATCATGAACCTCAGCTACTGTCTATGGATGGGGAGCAACTGGAGGTCAAAGCAGTGCTGCCTGACACAAGACTGCTGCCATGCAGGAAGTGACACAGGCACTCCCGGAAACAACATGGCAACCACGCCGGAAGTTACATCAGGTGTTCCATCTTGGCGGTGTTATTATATATCCTTTTTGATTCTAGACTAAAGTTTATTTGCGTTGGATATCTGTCATATATGAATATACAGTCCTTAGGAAGCAGTACCAACTGCGAAATGCTTTGACTGACTTGACATGTAACAGTAGCCTATTAGTCTATGTATAAGAATTTGATTTGATGTATGTCTGTTTTTAAACGTTGTAATAAAATGGTAGATTATTTTTTACATACAGTTTATAAAAGATTGTGCATTATTAAAATACCAGTGGGTCATCCTAGAACACCCTTTATCTTTGTTTTCTCCTTGTTTTCCATTTGAGTTAATGACTCCCCAGTATATGGCTATTTAGCCATATAGGCTATGACCTCCACCGTTGTCACTTCAAACCCACATTTTTATCTGCTTCCAATAAACTGTGCCACTCACTTGGAGAAACCACCTCCAAACCTCATTATTGATGTCTCTGCACAATAGAATTCAACCTTATACAGGTGAATCTCAATAAATGAGAATATCATTAAAAAATTTATCAGTAATTCAAAAAGAGTGAAACTTGTGACGATCGCAGTGTCAGACCCCAGCCCTTCTCACCAAACTCGTGACTGAAGGACTAGACAATCTAAAGCTGTCAAATGCATAACAATGCCACACCCCACTGCACTCTGCACAAAAATTTTCCAGCTAATGGACCACAATCTGTGTATCTGCAGCCTGGCAGCGATTGTTACTGGGTCAGGTTAATTACGCAATTAACCCTTCACACTGCCACCACCTCCTTTTTGTATAGAGAAAGAGGAAACTCGGCAACATCAGCAATAACACTATGATGTTTGCATAAGCGTCGGTATACCACTGTCACCGCAGGCAGAGATATACCAAAGTTTAAAAACACACACACAGTAGCGCTCTTCAGAGGCAGGGATTCTTAGTTTGCATTAAAGAGCTTTAGAAACAGTTCAACACTTTCAGAAAGTAAGGTTTATTGCTAAAAGGTCAAAAGGGTGCAATAAAAATATTTACAGAAAAAGATGTAGCCAATATATATATATAAATATACAGAAAACAATAGCACACAGGAAAGAGATAACGGAAAGAGGTTTGGAGGGATAAAGTACTTGCTGTCAGCCTTGGTTTAAGCAGATCAGGTTTCAGAGCCAAAAGGATGCCTTATCTCCCAAAGTTAGTTCCGATGTTAAAAGGGAGAATCTTCAACTTTCTTAACTCAGCTTAGCTTAGCTTTTTCTAGGAACTCAGCAGTGTGTCTCCCTGAGACAGAGAACCAATCGCCTCATGTGGGCGGGTGTTGCAGATGGAGACCCAAGCTATGACCAAAAACTCTCCTGGTTGAAGTCATGGTTCATAACTTATTCTCTGTGCATTTAGCAGCCTGGCCACTAGTAGAGTAATATGCAGACGCATCTGCTGAATGGTTAGATAGGAAATATGTGATCCCTGCTTGGATGGTTAAGGAGATATAATTTTCTGCTCTCCTGTATATGCCATCTAGGGGATGTACTATATCAGGCGACTTGTATTAACCTCCTTGGTGGTCTGATTATTTCCGATTTTTTGTGCTGAAAGCGGTACCATTTTTTTGCATGGAAATATGTAGTTTTTTTATTGTAAGCTGTAATTTTTAGGAATAACTCACTGAAATCTGTCCAAACAAGAGTCTAGTAAACATTCCGGATATGATAAAACTTGAAACACAAAATCATAAATTATTATTTAATAAATAATCATAAAAAAATAATAATATAATAATAATATATTTCATTCAATAATATAATCAAACCAAAAACACTGAAATTTGAAATACAGAGGCAAATTCGCACATTGCTGAGCAAAGTCGCAAAATTGTTTTCAGTGTCTGATGACGAATTTAACCATGAATCATTATCACTCAATTCTGCAAGTAGTTCTAATTTACTATCGCTGTTCTCTAGCCGGTCTAAAACTGCTTTTGACATAAAGGGACGCTTTTTGGACGCCATGGACTTTTCTAAGTTTCCAGGCAGAAAGAACAGTCAAAATGCAGGCAGGGAACAGGACAAAGTAATAGGGACAAAATATATGTGAAATGCATTGAAACAGCAATGTTTTTACTATATAATAATCATTTTTAAAAAAAGGACATTTTTTAAAAATTTCAAATTTGCCACCGGTTCCGACGCCCGTATGTCCCGACGTCACAGAGACCGGAACACAGAAGCCGGATGCCGGCATCGGCCAGAGGAGATGGCCGGGGACGCTTCAGGGGACACATCGCGGGAGCGAAGGACAAGGTAAGTGCTGCAGGGACTCCCTGAGCAACGCCGCATCGTAAGCCCGAGTGTAGCTCGGGATTACCGCTCTTGGTACTGAAATTTTTCCCCGAGCTACACTCGGGAATACCACCAAGGAGGTTAAAGTTAGCCATCCGAATATGTGCTCCATGTTTATGTAATTATGTCCTATTTGAAGATATAAAATTATATGGAAAAGTGAGTTTTTAAATGTAAGTCTGTTTTTACGACTACCTGGAATGTCTTTGAAGCTCAGTGAGGGCTTGGTTTATGGTTTTACGATCCCTTCTCCAGCAAGAGTCTCGCAGACATAGGGACACCAGCTAGTGGGGATTATAGCCATGACGCCCTCCCAATGAGTTTGCTGCCTGTGATCTCTGTCATCATCCAGACCACAAGTCACTCAACAGAGAAATCTGATTTGGGAGAGAGAGATACAAGATGGAGGGGTTTGGAGCAAAATGGATGAGTCCAAAATATTGATCCAATACACACAGAATGATATATTTCAAGAATTTCTCTGTGATTATGGCAGCTAGTGAAAATACAAAATTCAGTATCTCAGAAAATTAGAATATTACATGAGACCAATTAAAAAAGGATTTTTAATACAGATATGTTTGGTTACCGAAAAGTATGTCCATGTACAGTATAGATGGAGGCACATTCCATCCCCACCATGAATCCCAGCTATTGTCCATGGATGGGAAGTAACTGGAGGACACAGCATTGCTGCCTGACTCACACGAATCTGGATCCTCAATGTAGGAAATTGAAAGCACATGAGGTCCTTCATGTTACTGTGGTTACACAATGTCATTTGCATAGGTCACATCAAAAACACTGATCATTATTGGCTGGCCACTGTCTTAGATCCATTCCACGAGGCTATAATAACTCATCCCACCAGCCTAATTGCATATCTATGAAGATGTACTTATAAGAATCTTATGAAGAGCCCTTCAAGTTGGCACCAGAGATGAATATTCTATCTTTCCCTGTTCTGTGACCCCTGGGGGACAGGCAGGAAGCAATAGTAGCACCATAACCAGCAGGGGACATCTAACAGAAGCATTTTTTCTGGTCACAGTGGCCAGGCCTAGCACCAGATAGCACTCATATGTATCTCTTGTTCATGATGGCCAATGAGTGTATTAGCTCTATTCTGGATATCTACAACCTCAAAGTGAACACCCCATGGACTGTGTGTTCAAGATGACCAGACTTTAATCAGAATGAACCAGTTTTGGATCTCAGTTGACTTCCACACTTGCTGCTGGCAGATTCGCTGATTCTTGCTGCTGAGTCTTTGTCTATGACAGACCTTATATTTACAAAATTAAGGGTGCACACTCTGCCATTTAGAAGGTGGTGTTGGTGACATAGCTTCCTTCTCCTCCTTCCAGCCTACCACCCCCTTACCTCAAAAGAAGCAATAAATATACCAGAGATAAGGCTCTAAAGCTCTAATATTTTCAGTGATTACTCTCCAAAGGTCTTCTGCCTCTACTTTGAGGCCTAGCTAATTTTTGGAAGGCTCCTCTTAGGGCCTTCTGTCTTTGTTTTGAGACCTGGGGCCTGGCTAATTTTTGGAAAAGAACCCTTTAATGACCTTCTGCCTGAGCTTTCATGGTGCTGCTGTCAAATGTGGTACCATGTGGTACAGCTATTTGTGATTGTAATGCTATGTAATGCAGATAGAGCGCCAGGCCGTGTTTTTTTACATTTCAAACCAAGGGATCGGAAGCTTTAATTTTTAGTTACTGTGACAGATGCCTATTGTGAAGCACATTTTTGCTTCTCCCTTGCTATTCTACTACTACTTTTGACAATGGGGTTTGGATTTGATGCCTTTCAAATCCTAAACATTTTGACATGTTTGAGATAACTGCCCGTGAATTAAACAGAGGCATATTTGAGTAACACTCTTTAGAAACACTGTACATCAAGCACTTTTTGGAAAAAATATTATGTGTTGTTCAGAACCAGCTCAAGTGGAAGACTACTCAAGATTTTAACAGCTTTTAAACCCCCTCCAATACCTGAGGCTAAATGTATTTTACTGTATTTGCAAACAATGTTGTATTGCCTTTTGCATTTATATAAGGTGTTTACACACACCTCCTCTCACCCCAATAATTTATTTAATGTATTCAATACTATAGTATCCTTTTATCTTTTTTGTCTAATAAGTAACGTTTTTATATAAAATAAGCTTTAAATTGGTAAATCAACTAAAATAAAATGGCCCCAACAAATTATGTTTTAAATTTTATTAGACAATAATAGATGATCCCAAGTAGATAGGAAGTCTGTCAGCAAAATGAGAATTCTGTCTGTCACTATTGTAGATCTCTTCATTTTTAGTCTCTTTTCTCCAGCAGGAAAGGCACGACTCTTGATCATGTTGATACATACCTGCAGAAATAAAACAATAAATCTATTCTTCCCATAAAATTAAGATTTTCTCTAAGTTTATTAGGGTATTAACCTAATGTGTGAATATCAAAATGCAGAAAAGCATACTTTTTTCTTAATGATTTCAAATCTTAAATCAGAACTGTTCACAGAAAAAGGTTATGCGGCACTACAAGGGTTTATGGCTACATTAATTATGAGATGGAAATCTCTCTCTTTTGTGTCAGAAAAATGTATTAAGCATTGCCCTTTTTTTGCATCAAGGAGGTACAAAGAGCCCTTGACAACACTGAAGTGGCTTTACATGGGTAGGCATACATGTCATTCAACCATTAGGACCCCCTGGAAGTTGTTTGCTCTAAGTATACTAGCTAAGTAATAGGCCCAAGGGGTGTATTACAGAATTTTATTGAACAGCAGTAAATATACTGTTAAGAGGCATGTAAAACCAGCACATTGCCCCAAGAGTGCATTAAATCGTACACCTTCTTTTACTAAAAGTTATCAGTGATTTTCGTGTTTTTTTTTCAGCTTGGCTTATGTTTTGCACATTACAGCTCAGCAGGACATGGAAGTTTCCGTTCCTTCTTGACAGCTTTATAATGCACTCTAACAGTTCATCACTGGCTTTATACTGAATGAGATACCATAACCTACAAAATTAAAACTACTTGATATATATATATATATATATATATATATATATATATGTATATATAGCAATGAAAATTTATTTATATGTGATTTAGAACATTCTTTAAAAAAATCACTAATACTATATAAAGTGTGTACTTGGTTATATTTGTCTGCCTTTCTGCTAATCCATATTTTTTTCTCACTACGGGTCTTTCTTTGTGTCTATCTATCCATCAATTGTTGAAAAGAAAAATTTTGGTGGTATACTACCAAGAATTCACTGTTATCCTCTCCAGGGTAACTGCCCTGCTAGTAAGAGTACAGTTTCTGGAATTCATAAAACGTGGTTTAGACACTCTGTAGGGTTCATTCCTTAGCACCACAAATATCGGTGTTTGTGACAGAATTACATACTGGCTGGGAACAGATATATGAATTTTTTATAGGAGGCAGCCTGCATTTCCGTAGCGCAGCTCAAGTTCAGCCTTAGTAATCTCCCACCCCAGCCACCCCAGCCACCCCAGCACCCCAGCTACTGCACCCATCACATTGACAGGTGCAGTGGCCATAGAGTTTTGTTCTGGGGTGGCAGAGCCTGACGGGGAACTCTGTAATGATCTACTGATCAGACTCAAATAAAGGTTTGTTTTGCCAATTTTATAAACATTCATAGTTGAGTATATGTTAAAGAAGATCAACATTATAACTTATGTGGTAGTATTTCACAAAGTTGACTTATCTCTAATCATTGTTACTTTGTCAAGCAGAAATCAATGAAAAAATTGAATAAAAAAATTCAAACTGCCCAATTTCTTGTAACACCAGTTTTCAAATGCTACCATTGCCTTCCTGTTATAGGGAATCAATCACAAAGAAAAATACCCATGTGTACTACCTGTAATAATTATCTGCCTGCTGGAATAGTGAAATAAAAGACAACTACAAGCTTTTCTCAACCACTTACCAACCACGCTATAGCTGAAAGATGGCTACAGTGCAGTTGCCTAGTTCTGGGATGTCCGCCCTGAACCCCACCCCCTGCGCACTGCTGGACATGCATTGGGCATGCTCTGTGATCGCTGTGTCCCTTTAACATAAATGATAACAGATTGAGGTAAAGGGCCAATCACAGTGGTCCTTTACCATGTGATCAGCTGTGTTCAATCACAGGTGATCACTTGTAAACAGACTTGCCGGTTATTAGCAGTCTTTTCCTCACATGCTGTGTCTGCGTGAGGAAAGGAAAGCCGATGACCAGCAAGACTTTCAGTACATGGTTTACACTGATAATCAAGTACTGATTATCAGTGCCCTGATTATCAGTGTAGCCCCATCAGTGCCAATCAGGGCCCATCAGTGCAGCATATTAGTGCTGCCTTATCAGTGCAGCGTCAACAGTGCCTCCTCATCAGTGCCCATCATTGCCTATCAGTGCCCTTTTTTTGCTGCCTCATTACTACTGCCTCATCATTGCCCATCAGTGCCTGTCAGTGCATCCTATCAGTGCCCATCAGTGCAGCCTCATCAGAGCACATCAGTGAAGAAAAATTACTTATTAGCAACATTTTGTAACAGAAACTAAGAAAAACTTTTTCTCAAAATGTTTTATCTTTTTTTGTTTGTTTAGCAAAAAATTAAAAATCCAGCGGTGATTAAATACCACCAAATAAAGCTTTACCTGTCTCAAAAAATGATAAACATTTCATTTTGGTACAGTGTTGCATGTCATTCAAAGTGTGACTGAAAGCTAAAAATTGGCCTGGGCAGCAAGAGGATGAAACTGCCCAGTATTGAAGTGGCTAAAGTAAATATATTAGTCACATCACACATTTCTGGAATACCACAATTCACAATTAAAGTGTATCAAACCTAAACAAGATTTAATATACTGCAGTTTAACAGTTTTGCATTAGTTTTCTTTTCTTTTTTCAGGCTTTTATTTTCACCTAGTAATCCTGCAGATAACACACGTATTGTCCCCAGATGGCCACATTCGTTTCTCAACTTATTTTCTTTCCAAATCAGCCA